TTTTCCGGCTCAAGACCATGGTCTCAGATTTGGAGGCACTGAGCTGATTACTTTATGATTTTGTTTATTTTATGATTTTATTTGATTACTTTATGATTGTATTTGTTTATTTTATGATTTTGTTTATTTTATGTTTTTATTTGATTACTTTATGATTTTATTTGTTTATTTTATGACTCTGTCAAGTGTGATGTTTTCTACTGACCCTGTCCACTGCTGGTCCTGCCCCATGGTGGCCCCGCCCCTACTGGCTCCGCCTCCAGCACCAAATTGCTAACATTTCTCTGCAGGTGTTCAGTGAGCTGCGTTCTGTTTTGGGCGGAGCTTCTGTGTCTCTTCACCTGGTGGAAGTGAGTCCTGCTCTGAGTCGGGTCCAGGCCCAGAATCTGACAGGAACCTGCAGCCAGGAGGCTGATGATGAGGATGACCCGGTTTACCGTCGCGGTGAAACTGCTGCCGGGCTGCCCGTGTTCTGGTACCGCCAGTTAGAAGACGTCCCTGCAGGTAAACACAGCAGCAGGATGCTGGGTCAGGTCAGGGTTTGGGTCAGGTGGGTCAGGTCTACATTACGCTGCATAAAGTAAGGACTTTGATAAAATTTTCAAACTTACTTTAGAGCTATTTTTTCTTTTTTTACTCATAAGGCTCTATTACAGATTCCAAAACTATTAAAAAAATTTTTAAATCGGACCCCCATTAAGGATTTAGGGGTCTGTAAATGCTGAAAATTAAGAAGCAAATGTTCCATTGACTTTATTACATATTATACCGTTAAAAAAGTGCGGAGCTCCGTGGACATAGTGCGCGTCACAATTTCACAACAATTTTTCAAACCAAAGCAGAAAACAAACTACCGTATTCATTCAAGTATAATACGTAAAATTAAATACATAAAATCATCCATACAGTTGGGGGGGTAGTACTATACTAAGATAAATATTTTTACTTGTGTATTTTAACTGAAATATCAACTTTATTCACAAAATGCCTGAGTCTGGAAATAAGACCGCGTAGTAAAAAGCAGTTGAAGCGATCTTACCTCTGACTCTCCTCCGTGCTTCAGAGCGAGATAATAACAGATCCAGGCAGGCGACATGATGTGAAAAAAAGGGTGAAAAAAGTATTCCTGCACCTTAGTAATGATAACAAGCTAATGACATTAGCGTGTGACCGAGCCGCTGCTGGAACAACAACAAACATGTTAGCCTGTAATGGCTGCCGTCTACCGGTGTTCTGAAAAAGTTTGTATCCCTGAAAAAACGTTTCCCCACCAGAGGGTGCGCTCACAAGTAGGAAGTAATCTGCTTTTCCCCCACAAGATGGCCCAAATCTCATGTGAAGTCTCTGACTTTTGTGTTGGCGCCTCTTGGTGGACTATGTGTAAAATGCCAGAATTCATATGATGCTGCTACAGCTGATATATATTTGTTGTCAAAATACCTTTTAGCACATATGTTGTTAAAATAAAATGAACAGTCCAATGATCATTTTACTGATATGTATAAAGACTGCAAAGGCTGAAAAATTTTGAAGTCTGTATGAAATTRSAGGTAGTTTGAGGATTAAATTTTTTATGCTTTTTAAGCTCAAGAGGGGTGGGGGTCGTATTATACATGAGACTGTATTGCATCAAAGTGCCTACATGAAGTCGAGTTGTCTCTGTTTCAGGTTTCAGCATGTTTGTTGCTCATGAGTTCTTCGATGCTCTGCCCATCCACAAGTTCCAGGTGAGGTTTTGCAACTTTAGTTATTCTTTAAAAACAACTTTCATTTTTTTTGAGGTTTTTCTCTGATCCACACATGGTTTCAAGTTTACATAAATACTTTTACTTTGACGGAGCCTGTTAACTTCCTGTTAGCGATCATGACTGACTGCAGCCAGCAGTGTCTCTAGTGACAGCGCTCCTATAGTCTGCGTTCACACCGAACGTGATTTCAGCGTCAAAATCGTTGGACGCTTGTGCACGTTGAGGTCTTGATGACTCGTGTGGATCAGAGGAAGTCCAGAATAAGTCCAACGTTTTGACCCAAAGCCATGTCCTTGTTAGAGGACAGAGAGAGGTTGGAGGGAGGTTCTGGTGGACATCCATCCTGATGATCCAGAGAAGCTGAGGTTTGTCCTGGCCCTGTCTCCAACTATTGCCTCGTCCACTCTCATACAGGTGAGTACCTTTTCACCTGACTCACCTGGAGGACTTAGTGGGCCACAGTAGACTCAGATTTATTCAGTGTCCCTCACCTGGACAGGAGTTACCAGGGCCCCACCCTGGAGCCACGCCCACTGTTGTCAATCCCCCAGTATGAAGAGTCTCTATTGGCTGTCCTGAAGTCACCAGATGATGTCATCACCTAATTAACCAATAATTGTGATGTAAGCAGTAGGAGAGATGATGAAAACAGTGACCACGACTGTGTGTTTTCAGGCCAGTGAGAGGCGGAGTCACATAGAGGTGTGTGCAGAGGGCGGAGTCATCGTCCAGCAGCTGGCCCGACGGATCGTAGAGGACGGAGGTGCAGCACTGATCGCTGATTACGGCCACGATGGAACCAAGACCGACACGTTCCGGGTCTGAAGACTTGTTTGGTTTTTTCTTAGACTCAAACTCCCCCTGTTGTCTCTGAGACTCTGATTCGGTTCAGTTTTTGTTTTATTTTGAGAAAACGTCATGAATGAATCTAAATAATAAACATTTCTCAGCTGTTAGTGTTAGAAAAACTTAAATGTAGTTCAGATTTTCCTGATTTCGTTTGTCTCTGACTCGTTTGGTTCTTTGTTCTGACTTGTTTGTTCTGACTTGTTTGTTTTGGTTCAGGGTTTTAAGAATCACCAACTCCATGATGTCCTGTTGTGTCCCGGGTCAGCTGACCTCACAGCTGATGTGGATTTCAGCTTCCTGCGGCGGATGGCAGGAGGGGGTGTGGCCTGTCTGGGACCTGTCACTCAGAGGATGTTCCTGAAAAACATGGGCATCGATGCACGCATGCAGGTGACTGCATGACCCTTCTTTAAGATGACTTTAGGTCCATTTATTATTTAATAATGGTTTTTAGATACGTGACATTAGATATTTTTTTCATTTTATTTATTTTATAAAAACAACAATATAAAGTCCATTAAACAAATCAAAGTAAATCGATTACTGAATGAAAAAGGTGAAGGAAGAAGAGAAGATCTTATATCTGTCCTTATTGAAAAACAACTTTATACAAACAACTTAAACTTAAACAAACTCCATATTTGAGAAAATACAAACAAGAACAAAGTTTTATGTTAGAATCAAGATTATTACACAAACCTGTTCCCTAAATTACAGATCAGTTATCAGAATATTGTTCTCAGGTTGAATTTTCTGTCCGTCCGTTTTCTTTCACTCATCCGGGGTCGGGTCGCAGGGGCAGCAGCCTAAGCAGACAGACCCAGACTTCATCCACTTGGTCCAGCTCATCCGGGGGAATCCCAAGGTGTTCCCAGACCAGCTGAGAAACATAGTCCCTCCAGCGTGTCCTGGGTCTTCCTCTGGGCCTCCTCCCAGTGGGACGTGCCCGGAACACCTCACCAGGGAGGCGTCCAGGAGGCATCCTAACCAGATGCCCGAGCCACCTCAACTGGCTCCTCTCGACTTGGAGGAGCAGCGGCTCTACTCTGAGTCCCTCCTGGATGACCGAGCTTCTCACCCTGTCTCTAAGGGAGAGCCCAGACACCCTGCGGAGGAAACTCATTTCGGCCGCTTGTATCCGCGATCTCGTTCTTTCGGTCACTACCCAAAGCTCATGACCATAGATGAGGGTGGGAACGTAGACCGACCGGTAAACCGAGAGCTTCGCCTTCTGGCTCAGCTCCTGCTTCACCACGACCCTGTTTCCATCATGGGAGAAGAAGTGGAGGTGGTTGAGGAATATAAATACCTCGGTGTTCATCTGGACAACAGACTGGACTGGAGACTCAACAGTGAAGCAGTCTACAAGAAAGGACAGAGCAGACTGTACTTCTTAAGGAAGCTGAGATCCTTCAATGTCTGCAGCAAGATGCTGCAGATCTTCTACAAGTCTGTTGTTGAGAGCGTCATCTCTTCTGCCATCATCTGTTGGGGCAGCAGCATCAGAGCCAGGGACCTAAAAAGGCTAAACAACCTGATAAAGAAGGCTGGTTCTGTTCTGGGGACGACTGTGGAATCTCTGGAGATGATGGTGCAAAGAAGGATTTTACATAAAATCAAGAACATTGTGGACAACCCTGACCATCCTCTTCATCAGACTGTCATAGAAAGACAAAGTGTCTTCAGTCAGAGGCTTCTTCAACTTCGCTGTAATACAGACTGCTACAGAAGATCTTTCCTGCCCACAGCCATCACCATCTACAATAACTCTTTAGTTAAATGAGTTACAACAACACCTAATTTCCCTCCGGGATCAATAAAGTATTTTAGAATTTAAATTGAATTTGAATTTGACAGACCGGTACAGCGCCAGCATCACTGCAGACGCAACACCGCCTGTTGATCTCCCGCTCCATTCTTCCCTCATTCGTGAACAAGACCCCAAGATACTTAAACTCCTCCACTTGGGGCAGGACCTCCTCCCCGATCCAGAGAAGGCACCCTACCATTTTCCGGCTCAAGACCATGGTCTCAGATTTGGAGGCACTGATCCTCATCCCAGCTGCTTCACACTCATCTGTGAACTGCTCCAGTGAGAGCTTGAGATCACAATCTGATGAAGCCAATAGGACCACATCAGCCACTAAAAGCAGAGAACCTAACCTGTGATACTAAGGTCAACTAAACGGATCCCCTCAAAGCCTTGGTTGCACCTAGAAATTCTGTCCATAAAAGTTATGAACAGGTTGAATGGTTCAGTTTGAACAGTTCTCTCTCTCAGGTTTCTTCCTGTTTCAGCAGGTCTTGTTTGTAAATCTGAACCTGGTTTTCACCCTGTTCTGTGGTTCTTCAGGTTCTTTTGAGGAACTGCAGCCTTCCGTCCATCAGGAAGCAGTTAACCAGCAGCTACGACATGCTGACTAACCCCTCTAAGATGGGCGAGCGCTTCCAGTTCTTGGGCCTGCTGCATCCCAGTCGTCTCGCCAGCCCAGAGAGAGCCGAGGGCCTGAAGCTGGAGAAGAACCAAAGCTCGGCGCCGCTGCCCGTGGCTGGGTTTACAGAGCTCTGCTTCTCCTGAACTGCATCAGTCATATGTTGTGAATGGACCATAGAACGGGCCGTGCCTTAAAACATGTCAGAAACATGTGATTCAAGAGAATATCATGGATCTGACGCTCTTCGTTTGTACAAATGGTCACTTTCTGAAATAAATTCTAACGTCTGGTCCAATTTTTACTTCTAAACCAAACAAATTACTTTGGGTTCACATGCAAGAACATTTTCATATTTTTATCCTAAATTTCTCTTATTTTTGTTCGTAAGAAGGGTTCGTACAAATATGTCACGTCAGATTCAACAAATTCTTCTATCTTCAGGAAAAGTGTGTAAATGAGCTGCGTAAACATGATGAATGCGTATCAGGTGCTCGTGCACGAGGAGAGGAGATTAACATAATTACCACCCCAAAAACACCATATAAGGATATGCTTCATGCCTCAGGAAGTGTCCATTCATGAAAATTACAGCGAAAAGTAAAAAAGAAGAACTGTGTGTTTGCAGATTGAAGTCCTGCTCTCTGAGGTCCAGAAAAGAAAATCTGTCATTTTTAGCAGCGTCAGCTGTGGAATTAAAGGAGCTGCTAAAGCTGAGTAATGAAATGTGCTGTTAATGTCGTGTCTCCTGTGGGTCGTACACAGTCACAGAAATAAAAATCTAAATCATATTCATCTCTCTCTAGTCCTACTCCTGTTTTCCTTTGGTCAATTATTTTTAATCCAAGTATAAACAACTGTGTTACATGTCCTGATGCATCTCAGTAATCCAGGTAAAAAATCAAAAAGAAAAAAATTGTAGAGGTCCTCTGGACGGGTTCTTCTCTAATGAAACGTTTCGTCTCTCCTCCAAGAGACTTCTTCAGTCTGAGAGTTTCAGGCAAAATTCAGGCTTTTAAG